ACACTTCTGGTGCTGCTTTGGTGGGAATGATGCTCGGGCCTGGGCTTCCCGCAGCTGTTCGTCCCTCCCCCCACTCCCATCCTCAGTTCTCAGGCAGAAAATAAATTCATTACCTGCAATCAGCCTTTGAGTCACCCCTGTTGGGAGGGCGGGACCCTTCCACACCTGGAACTTCACCTTGTAACCACAGGTTCTCAGAATGTCCAGGAAGAGGTGGGAAGGGCCCTCAGACCTCTCGGCATCTGTTTTGGGGGGTTGGGGATACCAGGATGTGTTCTTGGCTGTGTCCATCGGTCATTGGTGCTGGACGGTCTCAGAGGAAGATTGTAAACAACTTGCCTTCCTGCCATTTGGGTACCCCTTCTGCCCCGTGGCACTCACCAGGGCTTAAAAGTAGTAGAAATAAGGAGCAGTCACTTGGGTTTAACCCACCTCTCTCAGGCCAGCTCTCCACACTGCACAAAAAGGGCATGTCTGCGGTCACCACGGCTCTGCTGTCCTGTCTTGTGGCCACCCTCGAGGACACAGGCTTCATTACAGGTCTGGAATAGGTAGTCCTATATTAACACGTGGTCCCTCGTCTGGGTAGCTCCTAGGAGATCTGGAAGTCACAGGATTCTGTAGCTCGAACAGAGGAACCTACTCGGCAGGAGGAATTATCTAGAGTTAGCAATGTTCGACCCCGATGTGGGTGGCGAGACCCCACAAGGGTCGTGGACTAGCTCAGCAGTCCTCGCTGAGCCCTGCCCGACTCTTAGCTCAGCGGCAAGGCCCGCGGTGAGCTGGCCCGTGCCCGCCTCTCCGGTGCCATCCCCTCCCCCTCCGCTCACTCCGTGTTCCAGCCATGCCCGGCTATTTATAGTCCCCTTCGGGGGCCCTGCTGCTTCACACTTTGGGCCATTGCCAGGCCGCCTCTCATCGCCTGGAACTCTGCTCCTGTCCCCCACCTGCCTGGCACGCACCCACACATCTTTCGAGATTCGATTAATAATATTAACGACAACAACTAAGATGTACGGGGTGCTTACTACGTGCTGAGTGTTTTACATGCATTATCCATGTTTCATGCGTTATACATGTTTCATCCTCCTAGTGGCCCCGTGTGCTCGGTCCCTGTGTAGTCCCCCTCCACGTGCATTTGTTTAATCAGTGTCTGTTTATAAGTGGCTGCCTTGTGCCAGGCACAGAGAGGTTAGCAAGTGATGCAGCATGGATTGCAGCCTAAGCCGTCTGACCCCAGGGTCCTCCCTCTTAGCCATAGTGATAAACCATCTTCCTTAGAGTAAGTATCACAGAAGCCCCCTCCAGCCATCTCTTCACCCCGACTGTTGCCGCTCCCTCCTCTCTGCTTTGCTGTGTCTGTGAAGTTCTTCTGTCATAGCATCCAGGTTTTGCTGCTTATTGGACCGTCTTCCTCTTCTGGGCTGTATGGATATCACTTGGGAAATGTGTGTGTTTTAAGTCGCAGAAAATCCAATATATAGGGGCTTATGTTTCCTGTTTGGCAAGGAATGAGATGGGCTGTTTCTAGTGTGGCTCAGTAGCTGAAGAGCAGCAGAGAAATGTCTCTGTTCTTTCTTGATCTTTTCCTCATGGGAGCAAGATGGCCACTGTAGCTCCAGTCATCACATCTGAGTTCAAGGCAGGAAGTCCCTTTTATTTTTTATTTTATTTTATTTTTTTTTTAGGAAGTCCCTTTTAATCATCAAAGTAAATGCCTTGCTAGAGGCTCCAGCATACTTCACTTGGGTTTCATTGGCCAGAACGATGTCCAGACAGCCACTCCTAGTTAGTTGTAAGAGGGACAACAGAAAGTGGGTATCTTGCCTGGGACTGGGTCCATTGCCACCTCATATAAAATCAGGGTAGTGTAAGCAAGGAAGATGGGAAGGTGGATATTGGGAGTCTGCTAGTGTTCTAGAGAGCAGAGACCATGTATTAATTTCTTCCAAATTTCCAGAATCAGAGTGTTCTGTGATTGTTTTGTGTTGTAGCCTTCCAGGCTTTCTTCTGTGCGCATACAGACATTTTTATTTTTTTCAAACACTGCATCATCATACATTACTGTTATTAATCCCCTCTTTCACTTAATAAGGTGACACACATCATCCGGATAGTTTTTAATGGCTATGTAACTGTTCATCTTGTAGAAATACCATAATTTACTCAACCAATGCCCTATAATTAATCATTCAGGTTGTTTTTAATATTTCATAATCTTAAACAGTTGTGTGACTTACAGCTTCATTTTTATGTACATTTGTAATGAACATCATAGGTCATAGTCTTAGATTAAGCCGGGTTAAAAGCTGCACCAACTATTAAAGTTTGATACCAGTTACCAAGTTGACTCTGGAAAAGTTGTGCCAGTTATATGTACCCTCCAGGAGTTTCTGACAGTGCCTGTTCTCTGACAACTCTGGATATTATTATCATTCTTCTTTAAAAATCCTTGCCAATTTGATGGCAAAATTGAAAATATAGAAGCTTGCATTTTCTTTAAATCCAAGTGAGGTTAACATTTTTTAAAAAAATGTGTACTTTGCTGTAATCCTAGCACTCTGGGAGGCCGAGGAGGGAGGATGACTCAAGGTCAGGAGTTCGAAACCAGCCTGAGCAAGAATGAGACCTTGTCTCTACTATAAATAGAAAGAAATTAATTGGCCAACTAATTAGCTAGGCATGGTGGCACATGCCTCTAGTCCCAGCTACTTGGGAGGCTGACGCAAGAGGATCGCTTGAGCCCAGGAGTTGGAGGTTGCTGTGAGCTAAGCTGACGCCACGGCACTCTAGCCCAGGCAACAGAGTGAGACTCTGTCTCAAAAAAAAAAAAAAATCCTTGCCAATTTGATGGGAAAATTGAAAAAATAGATGCTTGCATTTTCTTTAAATGCAAGTGAGGTTAACATTTTTAAAAAATATGTACTTTGGGCATTTGTAGTTCTCTTTTTAAATTTCCTATTCATTTCCCATATTCATTTAGAAAGTTGAGGCATTCTTTTTATTTCATTGGTTTATAAAAGTGCTTTATATATGCAGGTATTGTCATAAATATGCAGAAGACAGGAAAGTTCATAGGAGAGGGTACATCTGAACTGGATTTGAAGGCTAAGAAGGATGTCCCCAAGTGGACAAGAGTGAGGAAGATGTTTCAGCCACAGAATATCATGTGCAAAAGTCCAGAGATGGGAAACAACTCTGTGTGTGTGTGTTTCTGTGTGTGTGTGTGTGTGTTTCTGTGTGTTTGGGCACTGTGTTAGTTTCCTAGGGCTGCCATAACAGACTACCACAAACTTGGTGGCTAAACAAAATTTATTCTCTCTCAGTCTGGAGACCAAAAGTCTGGAACCATGGCGTCCTCTGGGCGGGTGGCAATCCTTCCCAGGACTCCAGGGGAGAATTCTTGCTCTCTTCCGGTTACTGGTGGCTCCAGGCATTCCTTGGCCTGTGGCAGCATAACCCCAAACTCTGCCTCTGTCTTCGCATGGCCGTCTCCTCTGTGCCTGTGTCCGCTCCCTTTCTCTTTCTCATAAGGACACACGTCATTGGATTTAGGACCCGCCAGGCTGATCTCGTCGTGAGATCCTTAATTACATCCACAAGCACGTTTTTTCCAGATGAGGTCACCTTCACGGGGACCAGGGGTTAGGATCTGGACATATATAGTGGGGGGCCACCATTCAACCCGCCACAGGGACCTACAAGTCTGACATTCGGCAGGAGATTATGTCTCTCCCTGTAAAAGTAGAGGCAGGTGCTAAGCACGAAGGTCCTTGAGCGGAGGAGTTTAGGCTGTAGGAGTTGGTCAGAGTGGGGAGGAGGAGGAAGGGACATTCCCGGTGCAGGAGGTGAGGGGCGGGACTAGGGAGGAATCTGGATTTCCCACCTGAGTGATCTGGCGAATTCGCTTTGGGAAAAGGCTGGGTTTGAGGTCCCTGCAGGTGGAGATGTCCAGGAAGCAATCAGAGATGGGCCCGCAGCCCACGCCTCTCCTGGGAGTGTAAGTCAAATCTGGGAGAGGACGTGAAGGAGGAGGGGGGACAGAAGCCAGGAGAGTATGGGGTTTTTCTCCCCCCCATCGTTCCATGATGAGAAATTTCAAGCATACAGAAAAGTTGAAAGAATTGCACAGCGAACACCCACTTACCTACTATTTAGAGTCTATAATTATCAGTTTTCTACACTCGCATCCATCCATCTATCCCTCTGAACATCCATCCCACTTCTCACGTATCTCAGAGTAAGTCGTAGACATCAGCGTACTTCATGCATATCGCTAACTAGAGTTCAGTGTTCAGTAGTAAAATGCTCAAATCTTATGTGTGTCACTGGAGAATTCTTGATGAATGCATCCACCTGCGTACTCCAAATCCCTGTCCAGATGCAGAGCATGTCCGTGACCCCAGAAAGTTCCCTTGCGCTCCTTATAGTCCACTTCTCCTCCCACCTGAGACAACCATTATTTTTTTTTCACCTCAGGTCTTTTTAATAAACAAATTTGTCGACAGTTCCAAGGTACAACAGCAGCCTATTTTGATTTTTTAAACCATAGATTAGGTTTGTCTTTTCTAGAACTTCATACAAGTGGAAGCATATGTGTTCTCCTGTGTATGGCTTGTTTCACTTAGTATAAGGTCTGTGACAGTCATTTATGTTGTTGTTTCTTTTTATTGCTGAGTGGCATTTTATTGTAAGGATCTATAAGGAACACCAATTTTTAAGGGGTGGACAGAAAAAGACTTCATTAAGGAGACTAAGAAGAAACAGTGAAGGTCCTGTTCCTGTGTACCCAAACAGGGATATCAAGCAAAACCATCTGGATCAGTTACAATTAGGTTTGACAATATATAACATAAAAACTAAGTAGCAATGGTTTAAATATCATTTCTCTCTCTCTCTCTTTCTCTCTCTCTCTCTCTCTCCCTCTCTCTCCCTCCCTCCCTCCCTCTCTCTCCCCTTCCCTCCCTCTCTCTCTCTCCCCCTCCCTCCCTCTCTCTCTCTCTCTCTCTCTCTCTTTCTCCTCTATGGTGAGGTGGATTGATGGCTCCATTGTGCCATTAGTGATGCTTAGCTTTTTGTTCAGCCATCTTTGGTGCTGGCTTCTAGCCTCAGGTTCACCTCATGGTTTAACATGGCTGCCAGAGCTCTGGCCATCACATCTACTTTCCAAACTGGCAACAGGAGGAGGAACGGGAATGTGGGACATAGAGGGAACAGAGAGCTTCATGGGCACTTTCCGCACTCCTGGGCCTCCCACTTTGCCAGCACCTCACTCTCAGATGCCTCTTGTTCCCATCTTTGGTCAGCCTCCCTTCACAAGGAAGGCGGTGAAAGGGGACTCCTCTGGAGTGAGATTCAGAGGGGAAAGAATGGCATGCGTAGACAGACAGTCAGATCTCAGGTTCAGGTCCTTTCTGTGACCTTAGGCAAATATCTCTAAGACTTAGTGACCCTGTCTGTAAACTGGGGAGAATAAGAGATATGGTTAGGCTGAAAGGGGCAAGAGATGGCGGAGACCGTGGTCTGTATCTCTGATAAGCATGAATTGTCCACACATCGGGGAAGACTGGCACAGACCTTCCCGCCCTGCAGGAAACGCCAGACTGTGACGTGGAGGCGAGCCACCCCCCCTCCCCCCGTTGTCCCTTCTACTCCTGCCCTTGGGAAATATTAGTAGCTCAAGTGTGAGGGCCCCATCCCTACGACTCCTGGGGCTCGGTCAGTGCACAGAAGAGTCAGCGTGGCCTGATGGAATCTGAGCTCTTGGCTCTATTGCTTACTTTTGCCTGTCTTAGGGAAAAAAAAAATAGCCCACATGGCCTGACAGCTAAATGGGCCGTCAGCTCAGGGACTGGAAGAGGAAGTCAGGAGGAGCAGGTGCAGCGAGCTTAGGGAAGTGCTCGGCTGCCAAGAGGCCAGATTGGACTTAGTGAGGCCGTGGCCAGGCGTCCTGGTGACCCGTTGACACCATTCTCAGGCTGCTGGCTGCCGAGGGCTGTGACAGAGGAGGAGGAGCCAGGGCCCCCGTGGAGAACTTGGCTGGCTGGGACCTGGCTCCGACCTCAGACCTGAGGACGGTGCATTCCTCTGCTCATTCATGCACTCCACGCACGCTTACCGAGAGCCTGCTGCGTGCTGGCCCGTGGGTGCTGGGTACACAGTGATGACCGAGACACCCGGTTCCTGCCCAGGGGCTCAGGAACAAAGGAGCGGGACCCACACAGGCACCTGCTGTCCGAGTTCTGAGCTGAGCCACCAGGGGAGACAACCTGGAGGAAGTGGCATCTGAGCAGAGGGTGGGGACAGGACCCGCAGCCTCCACCGTCACATGCGGTGACATCCCAAGATGCCTGGCCCAGGGAATCCCACCCAGAAACATTGGGGAGTATTTGACAAGTGGGCGCTGCCACTGGGCCGTCCAGTGTGTGGGAGGCCACCGCTGGCACCAGGCTATCGCGGAGCCCAGGGGGACTGGCGCTGTGCTCTTTGTGTCTCCGTACCCACCACGGTGCTGGCTCCATTGGTCTCCAGACATGCTGAGTCTCTTCTTCCCTTGCCCGGTGACGAGTGTGCAAGGAGTCTCCACCCCTCCCGGTGGGTGGTGGCCCCAGCACAAGGTGATCCAAGACGGGCCCTAGCAGCAGCCCTGCCGTGTTCTCCACTCCTGGCCCTGGCAGGTCAGGGCTGGAGGAGGCAAACAGGCCACAGGGTGGGGTGGGGGGAGTGGAAGGGTCCCTCATGCTGTCACCTGCAGTGACCGGGCTTGACGCAGGGCCTTCTGGGGCCAGCCTTGCAGCCCTTTCACTGTGGAGCCCCGAGGTGCCTCTCTCTTCGGTCCAGCCCGCGGTCCCTAGGAGGGGGTATCAGTGCGTGGGCACTGGCGCCCGGTGGTGCTGGCAGCCCAGAGGTGGTTGCTGCAGCCTTTTCTTCCCTCCTCCTCTGAAGGAAGCCCACATTGAAATTATAGCAATAAGTGCAGGCTTTGAGGACTATGCTGTTCACCCATGTCCCTGCCAGGTCTGGGCACAGCCCCCGCGCCCACACCCTGCTGCCTTGGGGCCTGTCCTCCCTGCAGGGCCCCGTTCCAAGGGGTGAGGGCTCCCTCAGCACGCTCTCTCAACCCTCCCACCCCAAACCCTGCCCTGGCCCCCTGGAGGGATTGGGCCCTGTGTACAAATGGTACCCAAGGAGGAGGGGCTCAGGAAGTGACATCGCTTGGCCCGCCCCCACCTCCTTATTCCCTATAAAAAGCAAAATGGTGACTCAGAGAGGAGAGTTGGAAGCGGCCGGCCTCCTGCTCCCACTGTTAATTTTTAGACTTGGAATTAGGCAGAAGGCAAAGGAAACAGCAGCTCGAAATACGCGGCTGACATGCTATTAAGCGGGTGGCAACGGCAGAGCCGCTCCCCCCCGACTCCCAGCAGCCTCTGAACGTGCAGAGCCAGTGCCTGCCGGCAGTCCCCAGCCCCTCGCCAGGCCTGGGCCCCCGCACAGCCCCCCACCCGGGCCAGGCGTGGATGGTGCGGCCGGGGTCATGGCAGCTGGGGGCCGCCGCAGGCGCCCACTGCGCTACCAGTCCCTGGCAGCTCTCGTGGAGGACTCTCAGTGGCCTTTCTTGTTCCTTGTCTCAGACTTCAGCTACGGGGCAGACGACTACGACGCAGAGGGGAATGAGGAGCAGAAAGGGCCCCCGGAGGGCTCAGAGACCATGCCGTACATCGACGAGTCGCCGACCATGTCCCCCCAGCTCAGCGCCCGCAGCCAGGGCGGCGGGGACAGCATCTCCCCCACCCCGCCCGAGGGGCTGGCACCTGGGGTAGGTACCCCTGCTTTTTCTTCTGGATGTGGGGAGGAGTGAGGAAGGCATGGGCATCGTGGGCCAGGCTGTGCTTGGGCTGGTACAGAAGGAATGGGTCTAGGGACATTTGGACCTGGCAGTCCTTGGTACCCTCATCAGAAGCAACTGGTCCCGGGCTCCTCTCCCCCACCTGCTTTGCCACCCTGCACCTGTCTCCCCTCCTCTAGCAGCCATCTGGTCTCCAGGCCCCTGGCCCCTCACCTCCTCTTTCGGCTTCCCTTGCAGTCTCTTTCCTTGGCAGGATGGGGAGAGGGCTCTCGCAGGGACCACTGCCTTCCCCCTGCACCCAGGCAGGGCAGTGGCTGCAGATGTGGCCTGTGGGCTGTAAACGTGCAGATCTGGCCTGCATGCTCCCTGCGGGGTGGCACGAGCTGCTTCTGTGGTGCTCCCCGAGAGCAGAGGGCCCCCTCCAGCCCTACTCTGTTCGCTCTAGGAGGGAATAGGCCCTGATGCTGCCCACTCTCTGCTTGTTGACAGAGGCGAGAGCTCTGCTCCGGAGAGAAGCACTGTAGAAGGAATATTAAGTCCGTGCCCTGAGACAGGCCAGGGGATAGAAATGTGGGGGGGGTTTGCAATCCTCGCAATTGGTGCTGTTCCCGGCGACAGGGACAGACTCTGTCTGGGCCCAGCTCGTGTGTGCACGTTGGAGACGCATGGGCAAGCAAGACAGAGCTTCCTGAAGGCTGTTTTTCCTGTAGTTGGGGAGAAGAACCAAAGTGTTCCTCTTTGGCAGCGTGCGTTTTGCAGGGCTGGGGGTGGGGCTCCGAGTGCCCAGGTCCAGGCTGGTCCAGGTGTGTTTTGTGGGGGTCTCCTCTCTTCCCCCTAATGCCACCAGAGGCACAGTCACTGAGATGCCATGTGATGCTTTTTCCCCTCCTGCAGGGGCCTGGCGCCCCCCCCCCACTCCGGCGCGAGGCTCAGTAGACACTACTGTTCTTGAAGACCCCCTGGCTCCTTCCCTGCCAGCCTCCTTGGCCACCCTCCACCCCTCTGCAGAGCTCTCACCCCCTCTTCACACACCGGGGTGGCTGTTATAGCCTTTGGCAACCAGGGCCTTGGCAACCGCTTCCCACTTGGGGGAAGCCACACTGTTGCCATGGCAACAGAGGCTGAGGCAGCGCTTAGCGACTGCAGGCAGTGCACGTTTGGGAAGGGATGATGGGGGCAGGTGGGAGGTGGAGGGGACGAGCACAGGTGTTGCTCAGCCCCACGGCCCCCCACAGTCAGCAGTCTGGGGTGTTGTTGCCCTGTGGTCCTAAGAAGGGGTGGCCAGTTGGAGACAGCCGTTGTGGATACGCAGGGGCAAGGTTTTTTGCTACCAGTAGAGGAGAGGGTATTCCAGGGGGTGAATTGAGACCCACCAGGGGAAAGCAAGAAGGAGAAAACTTGCTCCCCATCTCTGCCTTCAGGGCTCAGACCACAGCAGGGCTCAGAGGCCCCGGTGGGACTCGGCTCTTACCCACTGTGAGCAGGGCAGGAAGGTGCCCTGTGGATCTCATCGCAGGGCCAGGGGCTTTGCTGTTCCCTCTCCCCTCTCTGCCGTCCTCTTTGCTTCCTGTCCCCGTTTCCTTCCCTCATCACACAACCACCTTGCTGGAGCGTTTGATTTTTAGATTCCCAGGTGAAAGGTACTGCCAGGTGTTTTCTCTAGTGAAGAGATCACATCACAGGCTCAGCGGGGAGATGCCCCACCTGGTGCTCTGGGGCTTTGCAGCAATGACTTCACCTGTGGCTGCCTGCTTTGCTTGGTGGCTCATGATGGAATAACTCAGTTTGAGGACTTTGAAATCTAGAGACACGACAGAGTGACAACCCACTAAAGTGCTTGGGGCCCCCAGGACTCATTTTTGCACCATTGGCTAGAAGTCTCCAGAGATAGGGGTAGGGGAGCATTTATCCAACCTGCAGTTTCTGAGATTCCAACCTCTGCATCCCCCACCCCCGCCAGTATTTCTGCTCTTTCCACTGTGTCACTGGCCCCACCTAGTGGACTATGCTAGTATTGCTATTTCCACTGGGGTGCCTGGAAGGAGTTGACACTTCTTCCTGAATACTTGGGAATGTTTGGGTTAAAAAAATATATATAAGAAAAGGCCAAGATTTCTGCTACTTGGCTGTGCTTATTTGGCCAGGCAGTTCCCTTCCCCTGTCAGGCTTCCTGTTGTGGCCTTTGGAACAGAGGGAACTTTTGGATCAAATTAGACAATTGTTCTAGATATTCAGATATCTGGCCTCTGGCACAGTCTGATAGCTGAGCCTTCCACACCCAAATAAGCAGCCAACTTGTGCCTGGAAGCCCAAGATTTGGTCTTTGTATTTGTCAGGGTTCTCCAGAGAAACAGAACCAATAGAGTGTGTATATGTATTTAATGTGTGTGTGTGTGTGTGTGTGTGTGTGTGTATATGTAAAGAGATTTATTAGAGCCAATTAACTCAGGTAACGGTGGAGGCTTAGAAGTCCCAATCCCTGCAGTCAAGTGCTAGAGACCCAGGGGAGCTGACATGTAGTTCCAATCCAAGGCTGAAGGCCTGAGAACTAGGAGAGCCAATGGTATAAATTCTAGCCCCAAAGCCAGTAATCTTGAAGCCCGAGAAGAGCCAATGTTCAGTCCAAGTCCGAAGACCAGGGTGCCAGTGTGAGTGGTCAGGCGAGAGGAGTTCCCTCTTGCTCTGCCTTTTTGTTCTAGTCGGGTCTTCCATGGATTCGAGGCCCACGCACACCGGGGAGGTGCTTTACTCAGTCTACTGATTCAAACGCTAATCTCATCCAAAAAATGTCTGGGCATCACAGACATGCCCAGATTAATGTTTGGACAAATGTCTGGGCACCCCGTGGTCCAGTCAAGTTGACATATAAAAATGAAACATCACAGTCTTGCCCTCTCAGCATCCCAGAGAATGGAAAGAACATAAGCTTTGGATGATGAAAATCTACTACTCTCTATCTATAAGACACTGGATGGGTATCCTAACACCCTTGAGCCTCAGTTTCCTTGTCTCTAAATAGCGCTAACTCACTCCCCTGAAGGGCAGCTGGGAGGATGGAGCAGGATAGCTCAGGTGAGACCTGCGGTGCCAGGCATGGCTTACCACACTACTCAGTCCTTGGTGACCAGGGGCCACTAGATTTTTCTCATCGGCTTTTGGAGGGGTAGGAGACAAGCGCATTGCAAGGACCCCATCTAATAAATATTTGCTGGACAGTGACTGGGTCTGCTTTTGCAACCAGCTTCCTTTCTGGGGTTGGATCCGTCCTGGCAAGTGTGGTGGCCCCAGATGAAGCCAGGTGTCTGTGGCATTGGCAGGACACACATTCCTCACTCCCTAACACGCCCCTCTGCAGCCTGGCGCTGCTGCTGTCGTCTCGGTTTGTGCAGCCCAGCGAGGTCTCCGGGTGAAACCTGAAGCCCTGCCCCACAGACCCTCCTCAAGCCCAGTCTGAGCAGGGCACCCTGGCAGGACCAGGGCCACAGATCACCGGTAGCTGAGTTCAACCGACAGTGCCTGGCTTCACCCTGAGAAGGGGCCGCCAGGCAGGGAGGAGATCTGGGTTTTGTCCCAGCTCTACCACTTTGTAGCTGTGTGACCTGAGGGAGGGCATGCACCCTCTCTGAGCTCGTTTGTTCATCTGTGAAGCGAAGCCGAGGACTTCCTCTCTCTTGACCTCACACAGCTGTCTCGAGGCTTCTGTGACATGGTGTTAGGCAGAACGCTTTGTCAATTGTAAAGTCTGTGCACGGGTCGGACTCCAGCTGGCAGGAGAATACAGAGACAAGGGTGGAGGTGGATTGAAATGACCACCTTCATCCCTCATCTTCCTCCCCTTCTCCTCCTCCTCCTCGTCATCACAGCTTCTTAGAGAGACTTTGCTGAGCCTTCTCTCTGTGTTGTCTCACGTAAGGCCCACGACCACCCTATGGGTAGGTGCTATAACCATCTTCGTTTTACAGTTGAGGAAACTGAGGCTCAGAAAGATGACATAATTTGCCAAGACCATGCAGCAGCAGGGGGGCCAGAGTCTATTTAAACTTGGGTCTTTCTGATGGGGTAGGCCTTCGGTGCTGTCGGCCCCGCTCAGATGTCCCTTCCCTGTGAAACTTTCACGGCCCATGGCTGATCCCTTCACCGTTTGGAAGGTGAGCACAGCTATTTGGGGGGCACATCTGCCCTGCAAGACCAGGAGCCCTAACCCTGACCATCTCTGTGGCCTCCAGCAGTGGCTCCCAGGCAGCTGGGGGTTCTCAACTGGTGGTTGTGGAACCGAACCAGGTAGCTCTGGGATGGCCGGTCAGGAGGAAGGCGGGGCAGGCACAGTCACAGCAGATAAAGCTGGGAAGAGTGGCTGCCCGTCTTCCCTTTCTCAGTCCCCTGTGGAGACTCGGGGCTTGGGATTTGAGGTTGCAAAGCCAAGAGGTTGCTTCTAGGTGGGTGAGGAGGCCACGTGGGGGGCTGGGAGCTTCTGAGGCTGTGTCCTGCTCCACTCTCTTGAGACCACGTTCGAGGCCTGGGTGAGCTGCACGGTGGGTGCCCGTGGTGCGGCCAGGGACGTGCTCTCCACAAGTTGCCACCCTCCTCCTTTCTCCCCTCTGTGGATCTTTGGTCCCTGCTGCAAAGAGAAGAACACTAACTGGATCCTCCTGTATGCCAGGTGCTGTGCTAGGAGCCCAGGGGCTTCATTGCCTCCAGCCACTGGGGGAGCCCCCCATACTTTGTAGATGAAGACACTAAGGCTCAGGGTGGCCCCTTGGCTTGTCCAGGTTGGGAAGGAGGTAAGTAGGAAGTAGGTAGCCACAGTGCCGTGGTTGTGACCCTCAGTCCCCTTTGTAGCTGGCTCTTCCTGTCCTCTCTGGCCCATCCCTGGTTCACACCTGGCTGGGATCTTGCACACACACACACACACCCCCCCATGCTGTCTTCCCCGATTAACCACACCTGGCTGGCCTGGCTCATCCCTGTAGCTCTCGTCTCTCCCTGCTAGTGTGCTGGGGTCATGGTTCAGTAATGGGTTTCACATCTGCCAGTAAGGCTACCCACAGATTAACGTTATTCAGTAAAGTCAGCTGATCTCCTGCAGGTTGCAGGCGCTGTGCGTGGGAGGGTCCAGACCCGTTCTCTGCCCCTGGAGCCCTGGAATCCGTAGGCAGGAAAGGAAAGAGACAGAAGGTGACTGGCCCAAATAAGCAAGTGCTATGAAAGTCGTTAAGAGTGTCCTCACAGATATTCAGCCACACGGAGCTGAGCCATCTGAGGGCAGGGCTGGACTTCCTACCGTCCCTGTGTGCAGAAGAGCGACAGAGAAGTAACACACAGGCTCTTGTCCCACAGACATTATTTTCCATCGTTGTCGCCTCGTTTCTCCACTAGTAGGTGCTAGTGAGGCCAGAGTGTTTTTCTTTCCCATGAAGGATGTTCTTGGAAACACGGAGAAAAGAAAGACTAGAAACACTTTGACAGCACTAACTTAGTGCCAGGCGCTGTTATGGTGCTTTATAAACATCTGCTCATTTAGTCCTTGCCACAGCCTTGTGAGGTCGGTACCATTACTGCCCCATTTTACAGATGCGGAAACTAAGGTGCAGAGAGGTTACATAAACCGCCTAAGGTCCCGCAGCTAGCCAGCGGTGGGCGACTCATAACCACTGCTCTCCGCCACCTCTCTGAGCATGAGCCTTCGAGTCCTTGTTTTACCTCTTTCTGGCTGTGTGTCTTTGGGAAACCTGTTGAGCCTCAGTCCCTTCAACTGCAGGTGGGCATCAATCAAATCCTACCTGGAAGGATTGCTTCTAGGACCAGGGGGTGTAAACAACTGAACGTGCTTGGCGCTGCACCACACAAACAACCTGCTCCCGGGGCGATAGTTGGATTTGAGTCTCTCCTAGGATGTGAACCCCAGTTGTTTCACGGGCCCCTTGCTCTGGCTACTCTTGGGCCCCGCTTCACACTGGCCCTGGCAGGGGGTGGCTCAGCTCCCAGTAGCATCCCTGTCTGGTGAAGGCCCTTCCTGGGGGTGCACCACGATGGGGAATTCAGGGGGAAGAGAGAGGCACAAAGAAGAGAGCGCAGTGGCTGGTAAAGAGCTTTAGACTTGATCTGGGCCGCTTCCCTCTCTGCCACCATTTGCCCCTCCCACTCCCCACTGTGGGGGAGTCCCCTGAAAGCCCTGAGCCCGCCTTGCTGGACACTGACCCACTATCCGAGGTTTGTGGGCTTAGGAAGAAGGGAATGTCGGGAAACACAGATCCAGCCCACTGTATCCAGCTCTGGTAAGTGCTCACCCCGCCTCCCTCCTGAGAGCCAGCCCCGGTTCCAGAGTACGTTCAGAGCAGGCTCCGTGCCCTGGAAGTGGCAGGTATTTCTTTGTTGTGGGGAGTCGTCCTGCATATTGTAGATGTTTAGTGGCATCCCTGGCCCACACCCACTAGTGTCAGTTGCACCCCCAAGTCGTGATAGCCAAAAACATCTCCAGACATTGCCAAATGTCTCCTGGGGAGCAAATGGCCCCTGGTTGAGAACTACTGGTCTAGGAGGAGGTTAGAAAGGTAAGAGTCTAGAACAGCAGTTCCAGGGCGTGGGGAGGTCCCCCAGGGGACATTTGGCATTTACTAAGTGGGAAAAAGTAGGTGCTCAGAAAATACTTAGTGAGTGGAAATGCCCAGAAGGCTCACAGGGTCTCCCAGGGAAGATAAGTCAAGGTGTTCAGGTGGGGTGGATGGTTCCTCAGAAACCAGTCACATGACGGAGGATCCCAGGGCTAAGGGGAACCAACAGCAAAGGATGGGTGGGCACTGGGTTCACCAGGCAAGGTAGGAGGTGAGCCTCGGAGTGGGCCAGGGCTTCCCCTCTGACCCCCAACACACACCTGCCAAAGAAGAGGAGAACAGCTGGTGCCAGATGAAGGTTTAACATGCACCAGGCACTGCCCTACATGTGCGAGTCCTTACAGCCACCCTAGACTTGGTGCTACAATTATCCCCACTTTACAGGCAAGGAAACTGAGGCACGGGGACTTTAAATGACTTGCCCAGGTCACACAACTGGCAGAAGACAGAGGATTCAAATCCAGAATGCAGGGGAGTTTTATTTTTGTTTATTTGTTTAATTGTGTAAGCAGCATCATGTACTGGCTCATACCTAGCATTTGCTTTTTGGAGTTGCACTCTGCGTATGATTTTTGGAGTAACTTCTATGATCACAGAGAAAGGGAAGGCAGAGGGAAGAGTAAAATTATTGGGAAGATGATGACTCTGGTTCCATCTGTAGCCATAGCAACTCTGCCTGCCCTGGCACTGGCCCCTTGGAGTCATTTCTCATCGTCCCAAGATCTACTGAGCTCCATCAAATTGGGAGGTGGGGCTTGAGCTTCTGCCAAGAAAGTTGGGAGTGCCAGGGCTAAGCAGAGTGGAGGGAGAAGATGCTTCCAGCTGAGGAATTGCAACTAGCAAAGGCCTGGAGGTGCGCCTGCGCCTGGCCCTTGCAGAGGTTATCAGTAGTGTGATGGGTTGAGTCATCAGCCAGGGCCACACTGCCCTTGTTTGGGCTGACATAGTGGCTTCCCCTGTGCACAGAGTGAGCAGTGTTTCAGAAAGCGTAATCTGACATCAGTGGGAGGGACGCATTAAGGAATGGTCATGTCACTCCCTGCTTAAAAACCTTCAGTACCATCCCTGTGCCTCGCTGATAAAGTCCAAACCCTTACCATAGCTGTCAGGGCCCTGCCTGGCCTGACCATTGGCTCTTGCCTACCTCTGCAGCCTCATGGCCAGCTCCCTATTAGAATGTAAACTCCAGAAGAGAGAGATGTTCTTGGTTTTGTAACAAAACTTTTGCTCATTGCAGTCCCCAGTGCCTACAACCGTGCCTGGCACGCGTTAAGTGCTCAGTAAAGATTGGTTGAATGAATGCATGAACACTCGCTGCCCCTCCAGCCAGACCAAGTTCATTTCATTGTGCCTCACACAGTCTCTTTCCTGTTGATCTCCCAGCCCCGCTATCCTGGCTCACCTGTTCATGTTTAGGTGTGAGTTTTAATGTCACCCCCTCCAGAGAGGCTCCTGTGACTTCCCCTTTGTTGCTTGTGCCCTCAGAGCTCAGTCTGTGTTCCCAATCATAGCACTTACCACACTTCTTTTTTTAACTTTTTTCCCCTATTACATCACTACAAATTCTAATTTTGCAGAAATACATAATATAGAAACTTGCATCCTGCAGAGAGAACTTCTGCTAAGAGTTGGTTGCATGATTCTCCTTGTTTCTTCCATGTATAAACTGTACATACATATTTTTAAATGGGATCATATTATTGGTACTATTATGTAGTTTGTTCTTGGGTTTTTTTGAGACAGGGTCTTGCTGTGTCTCCCAGGCTAGAGTGCCATGGCATCAGCCTAGCTCACAGTAAGCTCAAACTCCTGGGCTTGAGTGATCCTCCTGCCTCAGCCTCCCAAGTAGCTGGGACTACAGGCACACACCACCATGCCCAGCTAATTTTTCTATTTTTAGTGGAGATAGTCTTGCTTTTAGACTGATCTCAAACTCCTGGCCTCAAGTGATCCTCCCACCTTGACCTCCCAGAGTGCTAGGATTATAGACGTGAGTCACCATGCCTGGCCTGCTCTTGTTTTACTTTATAAGTCTTAGACATCTTGCATACCAGTGATTCAAGATCTACCACATTCCTCTTCATTGACTGTATACAGTATTTCATTGTATGGATATACCCTAAACCATTTAATCAATCCTTTGGATAGACATTTGGACTGTTTCTAGTCTTTCACTGGTATAACTATCACTGCAGTGAACATCTTTGTACGTACATCTTTGTGCCCTTGTAGAAATGTTTTTTTCAGAGACTTTCCCTAGAGTGGAATTGCTGAGTCAGAGGGTGTGATCACTTAAAATCACAATAGGTTTTTCCATGTTATCCTTTCTGGAAGAGTTGTACCTCAACTGCATACTTCTAAGATTGTGCCTTTCCCCTGGCATGGCCCCTCCCTTGGCACTGCCCCAGGAGTTAATCACAGTGGTCAGTGTGCCCCTGAGACCATCAGCTCCACGAAGGTAGGCATACTGTCCCCAGTTTGTGGCTGGCACAGTGCCTGATGCATCGTAGGCAATTGATCAGTACTTGCTGGTTGAGTGGGTAAGGGAATGAGGGGCTGGAGGATGAGGGTAGGAGCAAGCCATCTGTGGGAAGTAACCCACTGGAGACTTTGAGATGTGGACTTGGTAGGTGTCAGAAATCTCAGTGGGTGCTCCCTCCATTGCCCATGGGGGAGTTCGTGCCCCTCACCCTCCCAGTGCTATTCCTGGCCACTTCTCCAAGTTCATCTCCTGCCCCTTTTTTTCTTTTGTCCTCTAGCCTTTTCCTTTTAGGGCTTCTTCCCTTTGCCTGGAAACCCTTCCTCATTCCCATACGCTGCT